CTTAAAGAATATGTAGAATATGTTACTTGTCGAACATAAAAAATGAAAAAAAAGGATATCCTATCTTTGGATCGATTATCAAATCCGAACTAGAATTTTGCATTATAGATCTCAAATGAGTGATCACAAAGAATTAATTACTGGGTTCGGATTCGAGAATTTTGTTTGAGCGGGTCCGGGTACAAAAAAAATTTAACCAGCCGGGTCGGGGTCCGGTCCGGATTTGAATAAATTTTTATCATCGGGTCCGGGTACAAAAATCATGGACCCGATGGGCTCTAGCCGTAACAATTCAGATAGAATAAAGACAATGTATTAATAATATTTTTTTGTTTCCATTTCTGAAAGTTAAGTTATAAGAGAACTTATCTAGAATAAGTATTTAAAAAATGAGACGGATTGAGACTAAAAAATGTGGGACGAATTGAGAGAGAGCAATTAGGAACGAATCGAAAGTAAATCCTACTATTGACCCGTATTAGTTCATATTATATCTGAACAAGCTTTTGGTAATAAAACATGAAAACACAATTCATTGTTGGCACTGACACAAGGAAGGATACAAGTTACGGTTAACACTACGTAACAATTTTTTAATCAATAGTAGATTAGATAAATTAATAGAAAGTAGTTAAATACCTTTGCTATTTCTACTTTTCTTTCCCAAACTTGCACATCTTGTTGTAATTGATAAAACAATGATTTCTTTTTAACATAACTAAATGCATCAGATAATTTATAATTTTGTCGTTGTCCAATCAACATTTTATTCGTATTTTCAGCATCAACGATTTCTTGTTGTAAATAAATAATGTCTTGCTGAGTTTGATCTATTAACTCTTCCTGTTTTTTAATGTTATTCAATATGGTTTGATAATTTTTAGATTCTAATTGTAATGCAATTTTAATCTGATCTCCTTGTTCAGACATATTTTCAATTTCATTTTTTAGAACAATTAATTCTGCATTTTTTTCATCAATTTTATTCAAACACAGCTGATTCTCTATTTTTAATTGACTTAAATTTATCTCATTTAAAGTTTGATTTTCTTCATTTTGCGTCATTTGTGCTTCTAGACGTTTTATCTGACATATTAAATCTGATGATTTATCACGTAATTTATTGGTGTTAGATTCACGAGATTTGAGACGTTCGCTGAAATAATACATGAATTTTTCACCTTGATTAGAAGAGGAGTCGACCAGTTTAACAAATTCAGTAATGGCAAAATAAAAATCAAGAAATTCGAAATCGATCCATTCCACATCACACTACAAAGGATAAAAAATTAAAAGTTTTCTACGGTAAATGTTTTAAATATCAAAAAATTAACATCAATCGATTTTGATAACGATTGGTAAAATCATATACGTTTATATGTACGTACTTCTAATAGTTCGATTTTATCGATATTTGTTGTATTTTGTTTTTCACTTTTCATTTGTTCGAGTTCAGCTATGATTATATCTAATTTTTGCTCCCATGTTAATAATCGAAGATTACAATCATTTTTGTTACTATTACGCGATTTTGAATGTTTTCGTAATAAACGTTCACCTGAAAAAGGTCGACCAGACATTCGATTGATGATTTAGAAAATAGACGACAAATTTACGAACTTGAGGATTCAGATACGTTAGGTAATGATGTCTCTGTGTCATTATTCTGTTGTACTTTTTTACCCTCTAAAGTCTTTCTGAATATTTGATTTTCCAAAGTAAGTTCAATAATATCTCTCCTAAATAAACCAAAACAATAAAAGAATTAATACCATTCGACTATTCAACGATTTATTCTCAAAAATTTTAATTTATACAACAGCGTCTGTTCCTACCTAAAGATTCGAGGCATAAGATCCCACCTGTCATTTTGTACTACCTATAAAAAACTAATTTTTCTAGCTTATGTTAAAATTTGCTGTAATTAGTCTTAAAAACAATAATATGCTTGTAACTAACAAATTCTTTTAAATATGTAATCTAGGAAAAAAATGTTTAGTTATAATGGTGCAACTCCTATTTTCTGCTACATAATTAAAACCTACGCTGTGTTAATTCTAAAACTCGTGGCAGTCCAATTTCTGTTCAAATTTTCCATTGACAATATCTAGAGAGCTACATACAACATTAGAGAGGCTAGACTTTGAAACATCTTTCCACAATAGAGAAATATTTTAAACTCGGAATAGAGTTTCCAGGAGATCCCTGGAAAACAGCTCTCGATCTTCTAAAACTCAGAGCTGGCTGTGTTTCGTGCCAATGCTCAACTTCAACGGATTTAAAAACTTGGTAAAAAGCCTAGTTTTCGTGAAATAATCGATTTTTCGACTCTCATGGAGACTTATAACTTAAACAGAATCGGTGCAAGTTCCTCTAGACTTCAAAATATACTAGTTTAACTGCTTTACATGTTGATAAACCTGAAAGTACTTAAAAATACCTTGGATATATCTATCGTCAATCAAAAGTTATTCATAAAATACCCACAACCAGTACTTTTTTTACTGTCAGTAGTAGTTGTGCTAATTGATTAATGTGTGTAAGAAAACACGAGAAAAATGTTGTGAGCGTCGCTTCTCACTACCCTCGATAAAATTTGGCACACTCAGTCCGAAAAATCAATCTGAGTTTTTCAGACCAAAATATCCAAAAGAAACGACAAAGTTAATTAAGTTACTTGTTTTTCGACGGATCTTTCGAATAAGCAATGTAATAGTATAAAACAGATATTCTATCTCATCCGTCTGCTATTTATGTTTTACCTACTCAATCTTTTTGAATTGTTGTGCTAATTTTACATGATCAGTATCAACTGATAAGAATGTATTGTACTGATTAGGTGAGAATGATTCATTTTGAACATGTTTAATTTCAATCGTCTCCATCTAGCGAAAGAACAACCACCTGTACAACAAGCATGATGACATTGATTGCCATTAATGTCACGCGTAACCCTATAACAACCTCTATTGTCCTAAAGAATACTACGAAAATGTTGCGATTCTTTTTCAATCTACAGTCACTTAAATTAGTTTAGTAGTACTATGTCAACTTGTAATAGAATCGCAACATTTTCTTAATATTCTTTAGAAAAATAGAGGTTGTTATAGGGTTACGAGTAAGATTAATGGCGATAAATGTCATCATGATAAAATTGAATGCCGGAAATTCCAGCACTTTTTTTCTTCCACTTACTTATACATGGTCGGATAGAGCTCGTCCAGCTGAATAAGTAATTGTTTCAAAATTTTCTGAAGGGAGAAAATTAAAAATACTAAAATATCCAAAATTCTTAAAAAATTCGACACCTTATATATAAAAAAAATATTTTCAAGCAGCGTTTCGGAT